TATGTTACATTTCAAATTATGCCAAAATTTAGTGATTTAAAACAACAATAACTATCTATTATCTTTTTTGGTTGTTGTGGTAGGTAATTCAGCAGTAGCTTAGCCAGACAGTTTTGTCTTGGGTCTCAGTTCAACTGGAAAATATAATCTGCCACAATATATAACAGTAATTTGTGTTTCATTATACTTAAAGTTATTTTGAGTGAAGTATCAAGAGAAGAGGATTTGAGTTCTGGCTCTTCCCCTCACAATATAACCTTTAACTCAAGAAATAATAAGCTGGGATAATTATGCCTACCTTATAGAATTTTTTTATGATCAAATTAAGATAACATATATGAAAACACCTAGTAAGTGTCAGTGACAGAAATGACAAAATAAATATTCAATAGGCACACACTAATATTTAAATAAAGTTGGTTATTTTTATGTTACTAAACAGTTAAACTGTATCAATAAATTTGAATCAAGCTACCTTGGAATCTTTTTTTTTATGTCAAGTTTAGAAAATTGTGCTTTCTGAAAATTCATTTAAAACACATAGTTCCTTTGTATTACTAGGCACATTTTCTGAAGACCATAAATAAAACCTCTTAAAAAAAAATACACATATATATAATGTCATCCCCTGGACTACCTGCCTTCTCCAGGACTTCTTTCTGTAGAAATTGAAGTGCTAGAACAGTGTGTGGCACATAGAAGGTGATCAATAGTAGGCAATCGATGCTCAATAAACGTTTGTTGAATTGGGTGAAATTACTATATTTCATTTAAATAGTTCAAATAATTGTATTTCCACTTCAGTTCACAAAATAATTGTTATTATGATAAAAATACTTGCAGCTAGGATTTTTTGAATAGTTAGGTGCTGGACCTGACACTGTATCTACCCACCTACCTCCCTACCTGTGGAAATGGACTTAGAGAAGGTGAGAGGCTTGACCAGGGACACAGAACTACATAGTGGTAGAGATGGAATTTGGACTCAGAGCATCTGACTCCCAGGGGCTAGGGCCTAGTGCATGCTCCTTTATTCTGCTTCCTGAGTTTTAGCTTAATTTTAGAGTTCAGGTTAAATAGACCCTTCTTCTCATCTAGTCATGGGGTTGGGGGGATTGCAGTTAATGATGCTTTTTTGAAAAAAGGGAAATTTTATGCTTAATGCTGAGTTGTCTTGGCAACACAGAGTGAGTTAGCGATCAAGTTTTATTTAAAACCTTGATTCACATGAGTTGAGATCTCAGTATTTCAGTAACCTAAAACATTATTCATTCGATAAAACTGACATGAAATACATTCTTAGAATTGCAGTTAGATAATCATAGAAGATCTCACCTGTCACTTTTAGATTGTTCTGATTTTAGGTCATATGTTGGTCTGTCCTCTTGAGTATTGTACTTGCTTATTTCCAAGTAATGTGTGCGTGTGAAATAAAATCACTTCCTGAAAATCAAGCCACAAGTGAGTGGTGAAAGCCAACTTTATTTCTCCAGGTTTGTTGTTGTGAGTAAGTGACAGTAAGTGTGATTTTATAAAAAAAAATTTTATTGTATTTTTTATGAAAGTATACACAGCAAAACAGGTTCCCATTCAACAGTTTCTGCACATAATGTTCAGTGACATTGTGTCAGCATTATTATTTCTGTTCGAGTTGTTGCATTCCCATTAATGTAGTCTTCCTGCCCACTCCCAGCCCTTTTCATCCATGCTTTAGAGTAAATGTTGTCCATTGGCCTCATATAGATAATTTTTTTAAACAGTGCTGGACTCAAGGGTGATATTCTTCACTTTTTGAGTGACCCTGCTGTTTAGTTAAAAGGTAACTTCAGGAGATAGTTACAGTTCAGAGTTTAAAGAATATCTCAGGGAAGTAGTCTCAGGGACTTCTCCAAGTCTCAGTGGATCTAGTAAGTCTGGATTCTTTGAAAGTTTGAACTTCCCTTCCACATTTTTCGGTGAGTGTGGTTTGATCATTTTAAAGAAACCAGGATGAAGGTCATGATAGTAGCAAATTCTTAATGAATGTTCCTGTGTGCCAGGCTCCCAGCTAAGTCTTTTACATGCATTACCTCAATTCATCGTAAAGAGCATTCTGTGAGACATGTACTGTTTGCAGCTAAGAAAACTAAGTTTCAAAGATGGCTGCTAAGTGTTAGAGAGGAAATAGGAACTTGTCCTCTTCCTCTCCCCTCATCTCTGTGGTGAATATTCCTCAGAGAGATTAATATTCTTCAAAAAACAATCTAGAGGTAATTCATTTAGAAATATCTGAAGTAAAGGGGATATATTTTTATTTGTCTGTTTACTGAGTTTCCAGGTCTTTCAAATTTTGTGTTAGATTGAGTTGCTATTTGATATATAACCAAAAGAAAACCAGACTGGTTGCTGTCAAGTCGATTCCAACTCATAGCGACCCTATAGGACAGAGTAGAACTGCCCCATAGGGTTTCCAAGGAGTGACTGGTAGATTCGAACTGCTGGCCTTTTTGGTTAGCAGCCGAGCTCTTAACCACTGTGCCAGCAGGCCTCCATTTGATATATAAGTAGCTGCTAATTTCCAAACAGAGTTCCTGAGTAGTGGAAACAGTAAAGCTCAGGTGCTAACTGAAAGGTTGGAGGTTCAAGTCCACCCAGAGGTGCTTTGGGAAAAAGGCCTGGTGATATACTTCCAAAACCTCAGCCGTTGAAACCCCCACGGAGCACAGTTCTACCCTGACACACATGGGATCGCCATGAGTCAGAATTGGCTCCACAGCAATTGGTTTTAATTTCCACACAGTCTGTTTATGACTACCTTTTACACTTGAGTCTAGAGCAGTGCTGCTTGACCCTTGCTGCACACTGGAATCACTCGAGGAACATTTAAACCAGACTGATGTCTGAGCCCCACCCCCAGAGCTTGGGATTTAATTGGTTTGGGATACAGTACGGGCTTTGAGATTTTTAAAGATTCTTTGGGTAATTCCATTGTCCAACGAGGGTTGAGAACCAGTGGTCTGTACTAGTCGTTCCCAAACTTGTCTGAGCATGGAATCACCTGGGCAGCTTCGGTAAACATTGGCCCCTGTGTCCTGCCCCTGAGATTGTGATTTAATTGGTCTAAGTGTGGTGTGGACTTTGAACTTTTTAAAAGGTTCCCAGAGAATTCCACTGTACAGACTAGTTTGGGGACCTCTGGTTCACGCAGTGGTTTTCACCCTGGCTGTACATTAGAGTCACCTGAGGAACTTTTAAAAATCCCATTGCCCAGGCTTGAACCCCACGTCAATTAAATAGTCTTTGGCCGTGGAGCTAGCCTTCCATAGTTTTTAATGCTTCTCAGATGTTTCCAATATTAGGTCAAGGTGAGAACTATGGCTCTTTTTCTCTCCTGTGGGCCAACTACGTTTAGTTTCCCAGTTCAGAATGCTTGAGGAATGAAGGGGGAAATGACTGGCTTAGAAGAGTGTTTTCCTCGTGTAGTTCATAATACTGAGTTAATTTTCTTAAACCAACATGGAAGTATGCAGAGCTAAGCATATTATAGAAAAGAATATGTTCCACATTCCAAATAATTAGCTAGCAAAGTTAATTTTACCAGCTTGTATTGATGTACTTTAGTTAGTAGTAAAGGAACTCTGATAGCACAATGGTTAAATGCTTGGCTGCTAATCAGAAGGTTGGCGGTTCATATCTACCCAGAGGCTCTGTGGGAGAAAAACCTGATGGTCTGTTTCCACAAAGTTTACAGACATGAAAACTATGGCACAAGTTCTTCTCTGTAACACATGAGGTAACTATGAGTCAGAAATGACGCGACAGCACCCAACAACACTTAGTGATAATTAGTAAAACCAAGGATGAGATGGCTGACTGGTATTTCTGAATTAAGTTTTTTCCCTCTGACCCCTATTTTGTATTCTTTGACTGATACAGAAAATTCATTTGCCCTCTAAAATCAAAGGGTCATTAAGAAACACATCCAACAAATATTGCTTGAGACCTCTACTGTAAAAACTCATGAAAAAGTTTACACACAAAAAGAAACAATCTTTGTTGGTTGCGAGGTATGGGAGGGGTGGGAGGGGTGGGGGGGAAACTAAATAGACAATAGATAAGTGGAAACTTTGGTGAAGGGTAAGACAGTACACAATACTGCGGAAGCCAGCACAACTTGTACAAGGAAAGATCATGGAAGCCCCATAGACACGTCCAAACTCCCTGAGGGACCGAATTGCTGGGCGGAGGGCTGTGGGGACCACACTCTCGGGGAACATCTAGCTCAATTGGCATAACACAGTTTATAAAGACAATGTTCTGCATTCTACCTTGGTGAGTAATGTCTGGGGTCTTAAAAGCCTGTGAGCAGCCATCTAAGCTACTCCACTGGTCTCACCCCTTCGGGAGCAAGGGAGAATGAAGAAAACAAGATACAAGGAAAAGATTAGTCCAAAGGACTAATGGACCACAACTACCATGGCCTCCACCAGACTGAGTCCAGTACAACTAGACGGTACCTGGCTACCACCACTGACTGCTCTGACAGGGATCACAACAGAGGGTCCCGGACAGAGCTGGAGAAAAATGTAGACCAAAATTCTAACTCACAAAAAATGACCAGATTTACTGGCCTGAGACTGGAGAAACCTCGAGAGTATGGCCCCCGGACACCCTTTTAGCTCAGTAATAAAGTCACTTCCGAGGTTCCCCCATGCAGTCAAAGATTAGACAGCTCCATAAAACAAAACGAGACTAATGGGGCATAACAGTCCAGGAACAAGGACTAGAAAGCAGGAGGGGACAGGAAAGCTGATAATAGGGAACCCAAGCTTGAGAAGGGACAGTGTTGACATGTCGTGGGGTTAACCATTGTCATAAAACAATACGTATACTAACTGTTTAATGAGAAATTGTTTGTTCTGTAAATCTTCATCTAAAGTACAATTAAAAAAAAATAAAAAGTCTAAGAGATTCTCTGTCTATGCCTTATTGAGCTTGCTCCTTTTCACTGTGTTCTCTAGGAGTACCAGGTGTCAGAGCTGAACGCTTTGAGGAAGGAATGAAGGTCAAACACTGTGCTTTGTCCCTTGTGGGAGAACCAATCATGTACCCAGAAATCAACAGGTTTTTGGAGCTCCTCCACCAATGTAAAATCTCCAGCTTCCTGGTCACAAACGCACAGTTCCCCGAGGAAATCAGGTGAGCCGTGCAGCTTACTGAGATACGCTGCTTGGGTTACTGACGATAAGATGTACCTAAAACAAACAACAAAACAGATGGTTGCAAGTGCTGTTCCTAGTAACTCAGATACGTCATAGGTCAGGGACTACCTGTACATACAGATGTTGGGCTTTGGGGGACAGAGATGGTCTTGTTCTTCAAAATCCATCCTATTAAGGAAGAGAATGTAAGAAAAAGAATAGCAGCACAGATATTGAAAACAGAATGCATTTTTATTTTTTTCCAGATGGCAGAAGCAGGGTAAAACTTCCTAGAGAAGTCATCATTTAATTTGGATCTTAAAATATGGGTGAGATTGGTGCTTGGGAAGGTAGGGACTGTATTTTGTTAAACAAAGAACCTCACAAGAGGGCCATGGAGGGTGGGGTATTTGTGATTACTGTTGTGTAATGTGGTTCGCCAGGGCCATAGAGTGTATGAAAGAAGAGTGGCAGCTGGAAATCAAGTTGGAAGAGTTGGGAACAGATTGTAGAGGCACCTTGTAGGGATGAGCGCTGTAACTCAGAGGGACCTTTTCTCTCCTCCATCCTGCCTCTGCTCCCTGGCAGAGGTCTGTAAACTTCCTGGATTGCAGCATTGTAGCACCTCAGGTGTTTGGTATTCACTAAAATTCCTTGTAGGGACTGTCAAGAGTCTGGGACTTCCTTTTTTGCAAATGACAGAGGTTGTAAACTAACTGTGGCCTTTGGAATTCACTGTTCATAAGTAGTTAAGTAGTTCTGCAGGCATAGTGAAGAGGTCGCGCTGGTTCCCATTCTGCATCAGGCTGTTCTCTGACAAAGTCGTGTGGTATCAGATGATGATGGCCAGCACTATCCAGGATTCACGAAGACAATCTTTTGTTATTGTTGTTGCTAAAAAAAAAAAAAATAAAGTCCAGCTAAGGTAGCCTAGCTTTTCCATTATTAAAGGATCCCCCAGCAAAAGGGGCGATGAGACTGACGCTGCCATTACAGTATGCGACTGTTTTGCATTTTTAGTAACGGGTGTGCCTTGCTTGGTAGTGACAGGTTATTGTTGTTCTTGTGTGTTGTCGAGTTGATTCCGACTCATAGCCACCCTATAGGACAGAGTAGAACTGCCCCATAAGATTTCCTAGGCTGTAGTCTTTACGGGAGCAGATCGCCGGCTCTTTTCTTCTGTGGAGCTGCTGGTGGGTTCGAACTGCCGACCTTTCAGTTTGCAGTTGAGTGCTTAGCCATGCATCACTGAGGCTCATTAGTGACACATTACTGAACTAGCATTCCCCTTATACATCAGTATTGCAGAGGGGTTAAAGCAACGAGACACTCCTAGTATTTCAGTCACCTCTTTCCTAACTTTGGACAGAGCTTCTCTGCTTTTGATAACTTTGGGTTTAGACCCTTCTGATTTTCCATATGTTGCTAAGCCAAATCATTGCAAGCATTTGTATGGGCCACATGCCGGGGAAAGGTCCGTCAGCCAAAGTCAACAAGATCAACTTAAAAGTCCCTTTAAGTATCTGCCCGCGTGGCTGGATCAAAAGAAAAATATGGTTCCTGACCTTTAAGGTCATATAGTTACAGACTGATAAGGTTGATAGTGATTGATTTAAAAAGTGCATGATCCACTGTTTAATCACTTTAGAGGGGAATCCTATAGCATGTGAATTGTATCGCAGTTTTAAAAAGTGCATAGACTTAGAAACAAGAATGCATAAATAATATTCTAGGAGTAAATGCAAATTGTGGAGTAGTTATAGAAAATTAACAGTGGGAGAATTTGATCAGAGGAACATTAAGGGGGCCTTTCTTCCTTCACTGAGAAGAATGGATTATGGGACCAATTTGAAGGGAGAAGGGGAGAGCCTTTGGAAAAAGTACAGTAAAGGCTAAAAACAGAACTTGAAACAAATCTATTGGATAGACATGAAATTATGAAATTAGTCATTGAATCTGAAAGAAGTGGAGAGTGAGTGGTAGAGTCTCATGGAAACTCATGAAGAAGTCAAGGAAATGTAAGAGTCTGCAACATCCATTTTCTCCTGGGTTGTGCTGCCATGTAGCACTTGGTTCTGTATTGCTTAAAGCCCCCCGAGTCGGTCACTGTTTGTCCACACAAAGCTCAACTTTAATCCCACTCCCACTCTCAGAAACCCAGGTGAGGCAAGGGGTGGCTTTACGCCCTTCAGGCAAGGCTAGAGCTTCCTGAATGGGAGTCTCTAGAGACTTCCATCAGTGGATTGATGATGGCAAGTGACCCCTCAGCGGAAACCCCACATGGTTGTAAAGTTTCACCTGTGTTAAGTCTTGAGTGGCAGAGTGTATGGGAAACAGGTCTGAGAACCATCCGTTGCTGTCAAGTTGATTCTGATGCATGGGGACCCCGTGTGTGTGTCAGGTAGAACTGCTCCATAGGGTCTTCAAGTCTGTGACCTTTCAGAAGCAGATTGCCAGGCCCTTTTTCCGAGGTGCCTCTGGGTAGGTTCAAACCACCAACTTTTCATTTAGTAGCTGAGAAGCTTAACTGTTTGTGCCACTGAGAAAAAATAACCCAAACCAAATCCTTTACTGTGGAGTTGATTCTGACTCAGAGTGACCCTATAGGACAGAGTAGAACTGCCTCATAGGGTTTCCAAGGCTGTAAATCTTTTTTTTTTTAATTCATATTTATGTCTGAAATTTTTTTTTCATTGTACCTAGATGAAGGTTTACAGAGCAAACACATTTCCCATTAAATAATTAATACACATATTGTTTTATGACGTTGGTTGCCAACTCCACAACATGTCAACACTCTCCCCTTCTGGACCTTGTGTTCTCTGTTACCAGCTTTCCTGTCCCCTCCTGCCTTCTCATCCTTGCCCCTGAGCTGGTGTGCCCCTTTAGTCTCTTTTTGTTTTATGGGCCTTTCTAATCTTTGGCTGAAGGGTGAACCTCAGGAGTGACTTCATTACTGAGCTATAAGGATGTCCGAGGGCCATACTCTCGGGGTTTCTCCAGTCTCTGTCAGACCAGGTAAGTCCAGTCTTTTTTTTGTGTCTGTGAGTTAGAATTTTGTTCTACATTCTTCTCCAGCTTTGTCTGGGACCCTCTGTTGTGATCCCTGTCAGGGCAGTTGGTGGTGGTAGCTGGGCACCATCTAGTTCTGTTGGACTCAGTCTTGTGGAGACTGTTGGTAGTTGTGGTCCATTAATCCTTTGGATTAATCTTTCCCTTGTGTCATTGGTTTTCTTCTTTCTCTCTTGCTCTTGCTCCAGATGGGGTGAGACCGATGGCCGCTCACAAGCTTTTAAGATCACGGACGCTACTCACCAAAGTAGAATGTAGAATGTTTTCTTTATAAACTATGTTATGCCAATTTACCTAGATGTCCCCTGAGACCATGGTCCCCACAGCCCTTACCAAGGCTGTAAATGTTTATGGAAGCAGAGTGCCACATCTTTCCCCCGCAGAGTGGCTGTTGGGTGTGAACTACCAACCTTTCAGTTAGCAGCCGAGCACTTAACCACAGCACCACCATGGCTCCTGCACCGCCGAGAACGCCCTCTAATTGTGCTGGGCTGATGCTGCTAGACCTAAAGCTAGATCTTGCTTTAGTTTATTTTCCATTGAAACTAGTGTTAGAAGAGGGACCAGCATTTTTTTTTTTCTTTGTTGTGCTTTAGGAGAAAGTTTACAGCTCAAGTTAATTTCTCATTCAAATATTTATACACATATTGTTTTGTGACATTGGTTGCCATCCCCACAATGTGTCGGCACTCTCCCCATTTCCTTTTCCACCCTGGGTTCCCTGTGTCCATTTGTTCAGTTCCTGTCCCTTCCTGCCTTCTCCTCCTGCTTTTGGACAGGAATTGCCCATTTGGTCTCGTATATTTGATTGAATTAAGAAGCACGTTCCTCACGTGTGTTATTTTTTGTTTTATAGGTCTGTATAATCTTTGTCTGAAAGGTGGACTTCGGGAATAGTTTAGTTCTGGGTTAGCAGAATGTCTGGGTGCCATAGTTTCGGGGATTCCTCCAGTTTCTGTCAGAGAGGGACCAGTTTTAAGTAGCTGAATGTTTTTAACTTATTAGGAGTGATGTCCAATCATTTTTTTTTTGAAAATTTTATTGTGTTTTAGGTGAAAGTTTACACAGCAAATTAGTTTCGCATTCAACAATTTATACACATTTTGTTCCGTGACATTGGTTGCTGTCTCTGCAATGTGTCAGCACTCTCCCCATTTCCACCCTGCCTTCCCCATTTCTGTCCTTCCAGTTTCCCTGCCCCTCTTTTTTCCTTCTCATCTTTGCTTTTGGACAAATGTTGCTCATTTGGTCTCGTATAGTTGATTGTTCTAAGGAGCACATTCTCACACGTGTTATTGTTTATTTTATAGTACAATCAATTGTTTAGCTGAAAGGGGACCTCTGGGAGTAGCTTCAGTACCAGGTTAAAAGGGTGTCTTAGGGCGATAGTCTCAGAGGTTCCTGCAGACTCTACCAGTCCATTAAGTCTGGTCTTCTTTATGAATTTGAGTTTTGTTCTACATTTTTGTCCCATTCTGATTGGAACATTCTGTTGTGTCCCTAGTCAGAGGAGTCGTTCGTGGTAGCTGGGCATCATCTGGTTCTTCTGGTTTGTGTAGACCATTAGTCCAGTGGACTAATTGCTTCCTTGAGTCTTTGGTTTCCTGCATTCTCCTTTGCTCCAGATGGGAAGGGACCGATAATTGTATCTTAGATGGCCGCTCACAAGCTTTTAAGATCCCAGATGTTACTCACCAAAGTAGGATGTAGAACATTATGTTTATGAACTGTGTTGTGCTGATTGACCTAGAAGTCCTTCAAGACCATGGTTCTTAGCCTTCAAGCCCAGTAACTCAGTCCCATGAAGTGTTTAGATATGTCTAAGAAGTTTCCATAACTGTGTCCCCTATGTGCTCTATTATATATATAAATATATATGCAGCAAATACAAATATGTATGGACAGATGCCCACAACTGTACCTATATATGCATGCACATGTACTCCCATACACCCTTCCTCACCTAATGGCATGCATATCTACCTATGTAACCACTCACAAATTTTTGTTGCATTACTATTCTTACAGAATTGTAGATGTTAGGGCATTTACTCTAGTTGACCTTTACTCTTGTGTATCTCTCAGTGTCTTCATTTACTTTGGTGACATTGTGCTGACTTCCCCTATATTGTGCATTGCCTTTCCCTTCACCAGAATTAACACGTGTCTGCTATCTAGTAGTAGCCCTGGTGGCACAGTGGTTAAGAGCTTGGCTGCTAACCAAAAAAGGCTGGCAGTTCAAATCCAGCAGCTGCTCCTTGGAAACCCTATGGGGCAGTTCTGTTTTGTCCAACAGGGTTGCTGAATCGAAACCCACTCAGCGGCAACAGGTTACTATCTAGTAAGTGATTCTTGCTCCCTCCCTCTCTCATCCATGACAGCCATCAAAGAAATGTTGCTTTCTGTGTGTAAACCTATTCTTGACTTTTTATAGAAGTAGTATATACAATATTTGTCCTTTGTAATTGACTTATTCACTCAGCATAATGTCCTCCACATTCATCCACATTATAAGATTTTTCATGGACTCATCACTATTCTTTATTGTTGCATAGTATTCCATTGTATATACGTACCACATTTTATCTTTCATCTGTTGATGGACATGTAGGTTGTTTCGATCTTTTTGCTATTGTGAGTCATGCTGCAGTGAACATGGTTGTGCATATGTCTATTCGTGTCACTGCTCTTATTCTCTAGGATATATACCTAAGAGTGGGATTGCTGGTTCATATATTATTACTGTTTCTAGCTTTTTGAGGAAGTGCCATACTGTTTTCCTTAGTGGTTGTACCAGTTTACATTCCCACCAGCAGTGTATAAGAGTTCCAATCTCCCTACAACCTTACCAGCATTTGTTGTTTTCTTTTTGACTCAGTGCCATTTTTTTCAGGGATGAGATGATATCTCATTGTAGTTTTGATTTGCATCTATCTAATGGCTAATGATCGCGAGTGACTCCATGTGTTAACTGTCTGAATGTCTTCTTTGGCGAAGTATTTGTTCATAGCCTTTGCCCATTGTTTGATTGGATTGTTTGTCTTTTCATTGTTGAGCTGTTGAAGTTTTCTATATATTTTAGAGATTAGACCATTGTCAGATATGTTGTTGCCAAAAAATTCTTCCGTCCATAGGTTTTCTTTTTACTCTTAGTGAAGTCTTTTGATGAGCATAAATAGTTAATTTTTAGGAGGTCCCAGTTATCTAGTTTATCTTCTGTTGTTTGTGCGTTTTTACTTATGTAACACAGTATATTTATTTATTTATTATTTTTTTATTATGGTTTAGGTGAAAGTTTACAAAACAAATGAGTTTTGCATTTGATAGTTTGTACATACAGTGTTCCTTGACATTGGTTACATTCCCCACAATATGTCAGCACTCTCCCCATTTCCTCCCTGGGTTCCCCATTTCCTTTTGTCCAGATTTGCTACCCCTTCCAACCTTCTCATCTTTGCTTTTGAGCAAATATTGTACTTTTGATCTCGTATAACTGATTGTTCTAAGGAACATGTTCCTCTCAGGTGTCACTGTTTATTTTATGGGTCTGTCTATTGTTTGGCTGAAAGATGGTCTCTGGGAATGGCTTCAGTTCCAGGTCAGAAGGGTATCTTAGGGTCATAGTCTCAGAGGTTCCTCCAGTCTCTGTCAGACCAGTAAGTCTGGTCTTTTTTTGTGAATTTGATTTTTTATTCTACATTTTTCTTTCGCTGTATCCAAGCTTCTCTATTGTGATTCCTGTCAATAGTCAGTAGTGGTAGCCGGGCCATCTACTTCTTCTGGTCTCAGGCTAGTGTAGGCTGTGGTTCGTGTGGTCCATTAGTCCTTTGGGCTAATTGTTCCCTTGAGTTTATGGTTTTCTTCACTCTTCTTTGCTCCAGATGGGAAGAGACCAATAGTTGTATCTTAGGTGGCTACTCGCAAGCTTTTAAGACTCCCAGACATTACTCACCAAAGTAGGATATAGAACATTGTATTTATGAACTGTGTTGTGCCAAGTGACGTAGATATCCCGAGACTATAGTCCTTCACCTTCAAGCCTAGGAGCTTTGTCCCGTGAGGTGTTTAGTTATGTCAAAGAAATTTCCATGACTGTGCCCCTTATGTGCTCAATTTTCTATATTAATATACATGTAGGGCCTACAATTATGTATGTAGAAATATCCACAAGCGTACCTGTATCTGCAGGTGGGTGTGCTCCCTTAAACACCCTCCCACATCTCCTTAGCATACCAATCTACCTATGTATACGTTCATAAATTATTGTTAATAATATTGTTGCAGGATTTTCTATGTTACAGTAATTACCATAGTTGCCCTTTATTCTCGTGGCCCTCTCTTTGCCTTGGTCATGCTGGACTAACTTTCCCCATATTATGTATTGCCTTTCCCTTCACCAGTATTAGCACTTGTCTTCTGTCTAGCTGGTAATTTTCCCTCCCTCCTCCTCTCATACCTGGTAATCATCAAAGAATTTTTTTTTTTTCTGTGTGTAAACCTTTTCTTGTTTTTTTTTTTATAATAGTGGTTTCATACAATATTTTTCCTTTTGTGATTGACTTATTTCATTTCACTCAGCATAATGTCCTCCAGATTCATCCATGTTGTGAGGTGTTTCGTGGATTCATCATTTTTCTTTATTGTTGTGTAGTATTCCATTGTGTGTATATACCACAGTTTGTTTATTCATTCTTCTGTTGATGGGCACTTAGGTTATTTCCATCTTTTTGCTGCTATTGTGAATAATGCTGCAATGAACGTGGGTGTGTATATGTCTGTTCGTGTCATGGCTTTTATTTCTTTAGCTATATAGCTAGGAATGATACTGCTGGATCATATGGTATTTCCATTTCTAACTTTTTAAGGAAGTGCCATACTGTTTTCCATAGGGGTCGTACCAGTTTACATTTCCACCAGCAGTGTATAAGAGTTCCAATCTCCTCATAACCTTGCCAACATTTTTTATTTTCTGTTCTTTTGATTAGTGCCGTTATTATTGGGGTGAGATGGTATCCCATTGTAGTTTTGATTTTCATCTCTGTAATTCCTAATGATTGCAAGCATTTTTCCTGTGTTTGTTAGCCACCTGAATGTCTTCTTTGGTGAAGTGTCTGTTTGTATCTTTTGCCTATTTTTTAATTGGATTGTTTGTCTTTTTGTTGTTGAAGTGTTGAAGCTTTCTATAAATTTTAGAGATTAGACCCTTGTCAGATATGTCCCAGTCTGTAGGTTCTCTTTTTACTCTTTTGGAGAAGTCTTTTGATGAGGATAGTGTATTTATGCCATAGGTTAGGACCCCTGGCTTTGTCCATTTGTTATCTTCCAGGAACTTTATAGTTTTAGGTTTAATGTTTAGGTCTTTGATCCTTTTTGATTTAGTTTTTGTATATGGTGTGAGGTGTGGATCTTGTTTCATTGTTCTGCAAATGTATATCCAGTTTTGCTAGCACCATTTGTTAAAGAGTCTATCTCTTCCCTATGAGTGGACCTCAAACCTTTGTCGAAGATCAGTTGTCCATAAGTGGATGAATTTACTTCTGGGTTCTCAATTCTGTTCTACTGGTCTGTATGTCTGTTGTTGTACAAGTACCAGGCTGTTTTGACTACTGTGGCTGTATAGTAAGTTCTGAGATGGGGAAGTGTGAGGCCTCCTACTTTGTTCTTCTTTAGTAATGCTTTAGCTATCCAGGACTTCTTTCCTTTCCATATAAAGTTGAAGATTAGTTTTTCCATTTCATTAAATAATGTTAGGATTTGGATCGGGATTACATTATAGCTATAGATCACTTTGGGTAGTACTGACATTTTTACAATGTTAAGTCTTCCAGTTCATGAGCATCATATGTTTTTCCATTTATGTAGGTCTCTTTTGGTTTCTTGCAGTAGTGTTTTGAGTTTTCCTTGTAAAGTCTTTATGTCCCTGGTTAGATTTATTCCCAAGTATTTTATCCTTTTGGCAGCTATTGTAAATGGTATTGTTTTCTTGATTTCCTTTTCGGAGTTCTCCTTGTTTGTGTAGAAGGATCCAAATAATTTTTCTATATTGATCTTGTACCCCGTCTCCAATCATTTTTAAAATAACCAAAGGACGTCCTATTTTGTCACATTATTAAAAATTATTGCTTCAGTCTTCTGGGAGAAGTAGAAGTTTCTAGACCTAGTGAGATGTTTAATCACCACATCTATTACAGACTAAGTTTTACGTCATCAGAAAACCTGACATAGGCATAATTTCTTCTTCTGTTATTTTTTTAATTACAAGGAACCTCAAACCAGTTACCCAGCTCTATGTCAGTGTGGATGCCAGTACCAAAGACAGCCTGAAGAAAATCGACCGCCCACTCTTCAAGGATTTCTGGCAAAGATTCCTTGACAGTTTAAAAGCTTTGGCTGAAAAGGTAAGAATTATGACATCATGAGAGAGAGAGAGAGTGCTTTTGTTTGTCTGGTTTTTTGAAAAATCTTTTCTGTATTAAAATAAAAAAAAAGACTAAAAGTCTTTAACTCTTTTTTTGTATATATATTTGCTCCTCTTAACTTTGTGGCACTATGCCTGGTATACATTAGCTGCTCTTCATGTGTTTAGGGAGACAGAGGCACTCCCATGGATAAGTAGCAGTACCTACAACCCTAGAAGAGGTTCAGCAGATAGTATATGTTTAAATGTGAAGTGAACTTTCCTGAATTTCTAGAACCAAATTTCCTACTCCACAAGTAACTCAATCTCAGAGTGTCCAAATTTAATGTCTTTCCCTGCAAACACTTGCCCTTTCTGTGTGTTCTCTCAATGGCATAGTTACCTCTGTATTCTAGACCTGAAGTAACTTTCTGGTTCTTCCTTTCTGTGACCCCCATGTTGCAGTAGTCTGTACTTTCTGTTAGTTCTACCTTTCTGTGTCTCTTGTAGCCATGCCCCCTTTCTGTTCTCTTTTCTTCTGCCTCTTCATCTCTTGCCTAGGCATGGTTGTCACGTGCAAACTGATTTCCCTCCTTTCTCTCTCCTATGATCCTAAGCAATTTTTCATGCTCTACCCCCAGAGTGGTCTTGCTGACCCTTCGTGGTTCCTAAATCTGACAGATGATTGAATCACCTGGTGGGGGTCTAAGAATCTTCGTTCCAGGTATCCGAGGTGATTGCTGATGTGCAGCCAGATATGGGTGTCACTGTCCCCGAGAACCACCCTCTCTCCTTCGCCTGACACGTCCTTTGGCATTCCTAACCCTTCCCAGCCCGGCCCGGGGTTGATGTTCAGCCTCGTTGTGTACAACAGTCCTCCAGGAATGCCGTATTCCACCCTTGCCTACACTGCCACGTCTACAAGTGAGCCCTGCATGCTCTCTCTTCAGAGCCTGGAACATCCATTCTTTGACTCATAGGAATTATGTGTGACCTTCAGGGCTCAGCTTCATTTTTACTGCTGCTGTGAAGCCTTTTTTATTTGTAGTTGTTGTTGTTGTTAGTTGTCATCGAGTCATCTCCGAGTTATGGCAACCTGATGTATAACAGAATGAAATGCTGCCCGGTCCTGCACAAACTTTATGATCATTGGTATGCTTGAGTCTATTGTTGTGGCTACTGTGTGTCTGGAATGCCTTCCAACCTAGAGGCTTATCTTCCAGCACTATATTGGTTAATGAATTTTCTGTTCTGATCCATAGGTTTTCATTGGTTAATTTTGTTTTTTAGGGTTTTTAAAAATTTTTTTAAAATTTTTATTTATTGTTGTAGTTTAAGTGAAAGTTTACAATTCAAGTTACTCTCTCATACAAAAATTTATACATACATTGTTATGTGGCCCTAATTGCTCTCCCTATACTGTGACAGCACACTCCTCCTTTCCACCCTGATTTCCGACGTCCATTCAACCAGCTCCTAAACCTCTCTGCCTTCTCATCTCACCTCCGGACAGAAGCTATCCATTTAGTCTCATGTATCTACTTGAGCTAAGAAGCGCACTCTTCACGAGTATCGTTTTATGTCCCACAGTCCAGTCCAATATTTGTCTAAAGAGTTGGCCTCGGGAATTGTTTTAGTTCTAGGTTGACAGAGTCCAGAGGCCATGCTTTCTGGGGTTCCTCCAGTCTCTGTCAGACCATTAAATCTGGTCTTTTTTACTAGAATTTGAGTTCTGCACCCCACCCTTCCCCTGCTCCATCAGGGACTCTCTGTTGTGTTCCCTGTCAGGGCGGACACTGGTGGTAGCTGGGCACCATCTAGTTCTTCTGGTCTCAGGCTGATGGAGTCTCTGGTTTATGTGGCCCTTTTGTCTCTTGGGCTAATACTTTCCTTGTGTCTTCGGTGTTCTTCATTCTCCTTTATTCCAGGTGAGTTGGGACCAACTGATGCATCTTAGATGGCTGCTCACTAGCTTTTAAGATCCCAGACACCACTTACCAAAGTAGGATGCAGAACATTTTCTTAATAAATTTTGTTATGCCAGTTGACCTAGATGTCCCCTGAAAGCATGGTCCGCAGACCTCTGCCCCTGCTACCCTGTCCCTCAGAGTGTTTGGTTGTATTCACGAAACCTCTTATCTTTGGTTTAGTCCGGTTGTACTGACTTCCTCTGTAGTGTGTGCTGTCCTTCCCTTCACCTAAGTTAATTCTTGTCTGCTTTCTAGTTAGTGAATACCCGTCTCCCTCCCTCCCCACCTTCGTAACCATCAAAGAATGTTTTCTTCTGTGTTTAAATCTTTTCGTGAGTTCTTATAATAGTGGTCTTATACGCTATTTGTCCTTCTGTGACTGACTAAATTCACTCAGCATAATGACCTCCAGATTCCTCCATGTTATGTTTCATGGCTTCATCGTTGTTCTTTATTGTTGCATACTATTCCATTGTGTAAATATACCATAATTTGTTTATCCATTCATCCGTTGATGGGCAGCTAGGTTTTTTCTATCTTTTTGTTATTGAGAACAGTGCTGTAGTGAACGTGGGTGTGCATGTTTTCTATTCGTGTGACGACTCTTATTTCTCTAGGATATATTCCAAGGGGCAGGATTGCTGGATCGTATGGACTTCTATTTCGAGCGTTTTAAGGAAGTGCCAAATCGATTTCCAAATTGGTTGTACCATTTTACATTCCCACCAACAGTGTATAAGTGTTCCAGTCTCTCCACAATCTCTCCAACTTTTATTATTTTGTGTTTTTTGGATGAATGCTAGCTTTGTTGGGGTGAGATGGTATCTCATTGTAGTTTTGATATGCATTCCTCTAATGGTTAATGATCCTGAGCATTTCTTCAAGTGTCTGTTAGCCACCTGGATGTCTTCTTCGGCAAAGTGCCTGTTTAAATCCTTTGCCCATTTTTTAATTGGGTTATTTGTCTTTTTGTTGTTGAGGTTTTGCAGTATCTTGTAGATTCTACAGATTAGATGCTGATCAGATTTGTCGTAGCCAAAAATTTTTTCCAAGTCTGTAGGTTGTCTTTTGACTCTTTCGGTAGTCTTTTGATGAGCTTAAGTGTTTGATTTTTAGGAGCTCTCAGTTATCTAGTTTCTCTTCTGGTGTTTGTGCATTGTTACTTATGGTTTGTATTCTGCTTATGCCACGTATTAGGCCTCCTAGCATTGTCCCTGTTTTTTCTTCCATGATCTTTATCGTTTTAGATTTTATATTTAGGTGTTTGATCCATTTTGAGTTGGTTTTTTGTGCATGGTGTGAGGTATGGGTCTTGTTTCATTTTTTTGCAGATGGGTATCTAGATATGCCAGCACCGTTTGTTAAAAAGACTATCTTTTCCCCAATTAACGGACTTTGGGCCTTTGTCAAATATCAGGGGCTCATAGGTGGATGAATTTATGTCTGGATTCTCAATTCTGTTCCATTGGTCTATGTATCTGTTGTTGTACCAGTATCAGGCTGTTTTGACTACTGTGGCAGTATAATAGATTCTAAGATCAGGTAGTGTGAAGCCTCCCACTTTGTTGTTCTTCTTGAGTAAAGCTTTATTTATCTGGGGCCTCTTCCCTCTCCAAATGAAGTTGGCGATTTGTTTCTCCATCTCATTAAAAAATGCAGTTGGAATTTGGGTCAGGATTGCATTGTATCTGTAGATGACTTTGGGTAGAATTGACATTTTGACAATGTTGAGTCTTCCTATCCATGAGCAAGGTACGTTTTTCCACTTATGCAGGTCTCTTTTGGTTTCTTGGAGTAGTGTCTTGTAGTTTTCATTGTATAGGTCTTTTACGTCTCTGGTTAGATTTATTCCTAAGTATTTTATCTTCTTGGGGGCTGTTGTAAATGGTACTGATCTGGTGATTTCCTTTTCAAAGTTCTCTTTGTCAGTGTAGAGGAATCCAACTGATTTTTGTCTATTTATCTTGTATCCTGATACTTTGCTTCTCTCTTCTATTAGTTCCAGTAGTTTTCTTGTGGATTCTTTGGGGTTTTCTGTGTATAAGGTCATATCATCTGCAAATAGAGATACCTTTACTTCTTCCCTACCAATTTAGATGCACTTTATTTCTTTTTCTAGCCTAATTGCTCTGGCTAGGACCTCCAGCACAATGTTGAATATGAGTGGTGATAAAGGGCATCCTCGTCTGGTTCCTGTTTCAAGGGGGATGCTTTCAAATTATCTCCACTTAGGATGATATTGGCTATTGGTTTTGTATAAATGCCCTTCATAGTATTGAAGAATTTCCCTTCTATTCCTATTTTGTTGAGAGTTTTTATCATGAGTGGGTGTTGGACTTTGTCAAATGCCTTTTCTGCATCCATTGATAAGATCATGTGGTTCTTGTCTTTTGTTTTATTAATGGGATGGATTACATTGATTGTTTTTCTAATGTCGAACCATCCCTGCATACCTGGTATTAATTCCACTTGATCGTGGTGAATTATTTTTTTGGTATGTTGCTGAATTCTATTGGCTAGAATTTTATTGAGGATTTTTGCATCAGTGTTCACAAAGGATATTAGTCTGTAATTTTCCTTTTTTGTGGTGTCTTTACCTGGTTTTGGTATCAGGGTTATGCTGGCTGCATCGAATGAGTTTGGGAGTATTCCATCCTTTTCTATACTCTGAAATTCCTTTAATAGTAGTGGTGTTAA